TGTACGAAGAGGCGGGAAGTTGAAATGATAATCGAGAAGCGTGCGGACAGACATTTGCGTTGGAATATGGTCAGCTGCTGAATTTCGGCTCTGACTCTTCGAGTTCAAAGCCAAACACTCCAGCCAACTGCCGCTAGTGGAGTGCTTGGGGGGCAATTGTGGGGGCCGAATATTGGGAGTCGTAGAGATTCCGGAGAGTTGAACATTGAAGAATCAAGATTCGAAACATTCGGCCATTGCCACGGAAACCCGGACCCAACTTTATTCGGCTAGATAGTCGATTAAGCAAAGGGCTGAGTGAAGATCGGTTTATTACAAAATATGCCGAATAGGAGGTTGGATTTGGAACTAATCCCGAGGCCCAAAGAAGAAAAGATATAAATAGAAGAGACATCAGCCAGAAAGAGGTATGTGATAGTTGTGGTGTTGAACTTAGAATACAAGTAATCTAGAACGAGACACTGACTTGTCCGTCGGAGTGCTAATTCCGACACTCCCGACCGGAGTGTTTAATTCCTTTCAGGTGCCTATCGGTGGATCACGAGCGTCCCCCAGGATCAGAAGAGTATGTCTAAAAACCACTTCCCCACAGTTATATTTATATACGGATTTTTCTCTGGCATGGCTTTTATAGCTATGACACTGCCACTATTTTCCTGCAACAAAGTCATTTACTCATTTCCCATTTGATGAGCAGTCATCAACACTTCGCTGGCGGTCCCAACTTTACACATCGTGCACCATAATTTGAAATTAGTATTCAACTCCAACTCCATTGTTGTCTTCTTTTCACTCTCTTTAGTACTGCCATTTGTCTTCTCCAAGTCTGCTTTTTTCTGCACTATGTGATCCACAGTCTCCATTTCATTGACGTCTTCATGATTTCCATCCTGACGACCACCTAGGTTTGCCTTCATATTGCCATTTGGCACACGCACATGCACAACCAATTGATTTGAATTTTCAGTTTCTTGAGCCGCTGCCTCAAAATTGTTGGCATTGATCACTTTTTGACAAATGGTCTAGATCTGTTTAACACACAAATCAATGGCTGAGATCTACTTTTAAAAATCTCTCAAAACTGTCTTCAACGGTCCAAATTTGTCTAATTTAAAAACAATGGTGAGATTCAATGGTTGTCTAATTGTCTACTCTGACCTACCCCACTGCACCATTACATCATCACAGTGTTTGTGAGCTGAAACTCTTTGAAGGATGCTCTCTTTGAAGGAGGAACAAAGCTCTCGCAATAAGAAAGGACAATGCTCTTAGTATCCCTTTTCATTTTTCTCCACCATCTCTAAGATGAAATGCTTAGGTACCTAAGAATGGGTTGTGGAGCTGCTTTGAGCTCAAATTAACGATATGATTAGTTTAAAAATAAAATCCTATATTTCAACTAATATTAATTAAAGATATGATTAGTTTTAAAATGAAATCCTATATTTCAACTAATATTAACGTCACTTGATGTGTCCATTATAATACATATTTTATACTCTTAATTTATATTTTATTAGACTTATTTTGTATATTATTTTATCTCTTTATGTTTATTTTTATGTTTTATGGAAGTTTACTGGAAAAAAATGCTCTTAAATGATGGAAATTGGAATTTGCATTGAAATAGTTTGAAAAGTTAAATGGGATCATTTATGACACATTGAGGTGTCTAGAGATTGGTGTCTTCAAACCTTGCGCGCAACATTAATTTTACATTTTTAGCAAATTTGTAAATTTGGCGTTATCGAATTGTACCAAATTCCGCAAAGCACTAGATTGCATCTCACTCAAAACCAAATTCATGTGCCGTAGGGCGGCAAAGATTAGTTTTATTATTATAAATTAGATAAATTACACTCACCTCTCATGAGGATTTTGACAATTACAGGAATTTTTTCCTATAGTTTCAATAATTATAGAAATCACTCTTACCTTTGAAACTATTATTAAGATTCTTTCACCATTAATCTTCTATTAATTTATTTAACAGAATATGACGATATCATGTTGACGTCATGTACTATGAGTAAAACATTCCAAAATTGCCCTTATATATTCAAATAGTAAATTTCACTTACCTCCCCTAAGGTTTTACAAAAAATTAATAAAGACCCATATATTATTTTAATAATGTTAAATAAAATTATTAAATTCTATACAATATTTTAAAAAATTCTAAATTGTTAAGACAAGCATATATATATATATATATATTAGAATAACCAAACCTTCCAAACATTACCTTATCTTAAAAAAAAAAAAGAAGAGCTAATAAATTGATCATCATTAAACCTTATACTAGATTAAATACAATCATTTATTTGAAAATTATGAAACAAAGTATAAAAAATGTTTTATTTTTTAAAAAGACCACCAAATTTATAAATAATTATTTTGAGAAATTAGCGTTTGAATAAAAATTTAAAAATACATATAGGTATTTGATTTTTTTTTTCCATATGAAAAATACATATTTGGAGAAATATTTTCTTTATTTTATTTTTTCATTTTTCTTTCTATTTATTTTCTCATTCATTTTTTCATAGTGTCACTGCTACAAATAACAACATATAATTTATTATTATTATTATTATTTGTTTTCTTCTCTATGTTTTTTCCTCAATTTTTTTCATCATTTTTTCTCTTTCATCAATGATAGCTAGCATCACCCAATACCATAGCAACTTACGAAACATGAATTTTTCTTTTGTTTTGTAAGCATATTTGTGTATCCAATTTTATTTTTTTTAAAGAAAAATAAACATAATAACATTTCATATTTATAATTAAAAAAATTGACTTGTAACAATTAACAAATGTTACCTCATAAATATATATAAAAAAATTATCATTTTATCTTTTCACATTCCTATATTATTCTCAAATTTTAATTATCATTAAAAAAAAATGTCAATATTTCTCACCTTAATAATAAATTTTTTAAAAATAAATATAAAAGTGAAAAAATATCTAATCACGTTAAAATAAATTAAAATTAGATGATAGGGAATAAAAGATAAATAAATTATTTTAGAATAATAAACTATTTAAATTTGCCATTTCTTAGATTACATCTAATTAAAATAGAATTTTACTTGAACAAATAAATTATTTGAAAATAATAAATTACTTAAATAATTTGTAATGTATTACATCTAAAATCTATATCTACATCTTTGTTTCTCTCATTTAATTAATTTTTATTAAATTAAATCTCAAAATTAATTCAAATAAGAAACATGGATATTCTTAATTTCATTAATGGTTTTTTTTAAAATTTTTTTTTTAAACTTGTAAAATTTTAAAACTTATAGTGGAAAAAAAATATACAAAGTCAAGGACATACAAAAAAAATAAAATAAAATTGTGAGAAATAAAATGATAATTTAATATATAGGTAATTAAAATTAAAGGGTATTAAGTGTAAAGGGTATTATGGTCATTTGCACAACCAAGTTAATACCGTTTGGCTTAAATTAACGGGAGGGGAGAATCTTGACAATGTCAGAAAAAGTAAGGGAGGTTTCTGTAATTATTGAAATTGCAGGGGAGGTCCCTGTAATTGTCATAAACCTTAGGGAAGGTGAGTGTAATTTACCCTTATAAATTCTATTTGGGAGATTAATTAGGAAATCCTTTTTCAAGTACTCTATATTCCTATAAGTCCTATTATTTGGACATTTGATACATCAAATATGGACAATTTTACACACTACAAGAAAACACATTTTTGGCGACCAGTTTTGGCTACCAAAACAAATTTAGTCGCCAAAAGTGTGGGAATTGGCTACCAAAATTAATTTTAGTCGGCAAAAGTCAACTTTTTAGCTACTAATTTTTTTTAGTAGGAGAATATTGATTATTCGCGACTAAAATAAATTTAGTAGCTAAAAATATTACAATTGGCCACTAAAAAAAATTTTAGTAGCTAAACATATCTCCATTAGCGACTAAAAGTACTTTTAGTAGCTGTAGAGGCACCTTTAGCTCCTAAATTGTTTGGTAGCCGAAGGAAAATAAAAAAATTTATTTTTGATCTTTGGCGACCAAAAGTTTGGTCGCCAAAAATATCTTTTCAGGGACAAAATTCATTTTAGTCGCTGTAGACCTACTTTTGCCTAATAAATTGTTTGGTAGCCGAATAAAAATAAAAAAAATTTATTTTTGATCTTTTGGTCGCCAAGAATATCTTTTCAACGACAAAATTCATTTTAGTCGCTGTAGACCTACTTTTGCCTACTAAATTGTTTGGTAGCCAAATGAAAATAAAAAAAAATTATTTTTGATCTTTGGCGACCAAAATTTTGGTCGACAAAAATGATTAAACAAAATAGTTATTTTATTTTTATTTTTATGAAAAGGTTGTCAAATCTTAACAACATTGTTCATAAACATTGTTAACAATGACATTTTATCCACTTGAAATTTGACTTTCTTTTTTTTTAAATGAGAAAAATAAAATTGAAAGAAACTTCTTTTTTAAAAGTAAAAATAAAAATAAAAATGAAACATGCTTATTAATTAAATAAAAATGAATTCCCATTAGTAGTAGGTATATGAATAAAACAATCAGATTTATTGAATTAAGTGGTAAAAGCCAGTTGGCTTTATTAGGCTATCATCTTCTAAATTAATTTAAGGTTTACTTTAATATAATAAACTAGTTACAACTGCATAATAAATTAATTAAATCCACTTGACACATGATTTCTTCACCTGTCTTTATCTATGACAAAATATACATATTGCATGTTCTAAAATTCTAAATCAAATTGATTAGTGCCTAGTTAGTCATGCAGGAGTCCCAAAAAAAAAATTAAGTATATTTTACAATATCTATATAATAAGACAGGACGGTTTTTGAAAATATGTTAGAGACAATTGTCCTACTAGGACATTTCAATGACTATGATTCATTTGTCTATTTAAATAGATGGCTGAGATGACCCCCTTAAATATATATCAATCCCCTTCCAGCACCACTGCTACATATCTGTTCCGTTTGGGAAGTTCAACCTAATGAAGTAATGATGGTTGGGGATAACCTTAAAGATGATGTGAGTTCTGCTCTATTTCTCTCTCCATCATTTGCACCATATTTGTTAAGAACATTTCTGATTCATTTTGAGGTGCTGTTTTTGTATATATATATTTTTTAATTTCACATTCTTTTATCAAATTTGTTTGAATCAAAACATGCTTTTGTGTAAATTAAAGCTCCTTTACTTGGTCTTTGCAGGTTGCTTGTGGGAAACGAGCGGGAGCATTTACATGCTTGCTTGACAAAACAGGGAGGTATGATTCTCCCGAATACACAGATGTGGAATTTAAGCCAGATTACAAGGTGTCTTATCTTGCCCATGTTCATTCACTACTGGAAGCAAATTTTGACCTGACACCATGATCCACAATTTCCTTGACAATAAAAATTTGCATTGTTAAATTGAGTAGCATTGAGATTCTCAGACCATTTATTAGTTGGTGGATACACCTATTTTTGATCCTGTGAAGAATTCATAGGAGAAGCTTTGTGAAGTACGGAGACAGGAAAATACCAAGGAAATATTGTGTATTTGAAAGACAGAGATCTTTCTTTAGTTTAGCATCTTATGGTAGTGTTGATATGCTGCAGAGTCATCGAATATATAGGTTTCCTTGCCAAAGTACTCTTGGATAGATTTCCTGCACATATTTGTTTGTTGTTATCATTGTATTATGAGGCTAGCTGTTAATGCTTTGTTTGTGGGATGTAAGATTGTTGTTGTATATCTATATGTAATACTTTTGACCCACTTTATAATGCGATTTCTTTCTCTCTTTGGTGCAATGCAATGCATATTTTAAAATTACAATGAAGTTTATATGTTTATTTTTGAATAAATGATGAAATAATGTGGCTACGATTATTTTGATTCTTTTTATGTTTGATTTATGATTTATACGTAGGGATTTACAAAATGAACAATTTAGATCACTTGAGTGAGACTTGAGGTGAGGCTTATAGCAAGACTGCATCCCTGATCCACTTTTATAGACTAGAGGCAATCCTGATGATAATTGACCTTAATTTTGATGATGACAGTTTGAATTAAAGAAGATAATAAGTCAATTTTCTTTAATCTCAAATATTCTTATATTTCAAGTCACTCCGTCCGTTGCACCACCACAGAACTTAGGCACAATGTAGTGTCCTGATTACATAAAATATTCAAAATCTGTAAAATTAGTGTCTCCCTTCATCGCTAGAAAGAGTTCATGCAGCATTTCATAAATCCTCTCAAAACAAGGGTGGATTTTATCAGAAACATAACAGTTGTGAGTTTCGCTATTAATATATCTCTGCAAATGTGTGTGTATATGTATGAGGAATATGGGGATCCTAGAGAAGAGAAAGAAGAAGAAAAATGAAAATCATGTGTCTCTGGAAATGTGTGTATATATATATATATGTATATATCAGTCGATCTATGTATTGGAGAGAAGTAAATTACAGAGTTGGGAAGAGAAAAGCAGACAAGATCTTGATCACAGTTGACCGTTTCAAATGAGATAAAAAAATTACTAACAAATGAATGAAAACATTTTTGGAATAACAACTCATATGAGAAAAATAAATATTAAAGAGCTGTTTGAGATTTGCTTATTTAGTGTATTTTTTAATTTTTTTTATAAAAAAATGTGTAGAAAAATAGAAAAGGGATGAGACATAAATAAGTATACTCATCAAAAAAGTGGAATTATTTAGATTATTCCTGAACAGGAGGGTTTTTGAATCTTTAATATATTATTTAGTATACTAAGACATTTGAACAGTTCAGATCTGTTCAAATTACAAAACGGCTGTGATGTATGCTATGTGTACATTTTTCACTTTCCCATTTTTTTCTCTTACTTTTTCTTTTTCTCTTTCTCACTCACCTTTCCCATTATCTCATAAATAATCCACGAATGATCCCATGATTCCACATTCTTCATTTTCTTTTTTTTTATTTTATTTCCCCCTTTCCTTTTTTTCCTCCCTGTTTATTTATTTATTTATTTATTCACTTATTTTAATTTACACCGTGCCTTCAGGCACGGGCATACACTAGTAAGAATATAAGAGAATATAATTTTTTTTTAAAATATAAGAATATAAGCAAACATAAGAATATAAAATATAAGAATATAATATTTTAAAATATATTATTATATTTTTCAGTAAAAAAAATATTAGGACAAATATTTAAGATAATTTAATATTTTTAATTTATAATTTTATTACTTATATTTTTATTTAAATATAATTTTAATATATTTGTTATGTCACGGTTCGATTTGCTCACCGGTTCGATTTTTAAAACATTAATGTTAGAAACTTTGTAACATTTACTTCTATTTTCTTTTAAGATAATAAATTAATATTTTAAATTTTATTTTTGTATCACATGAACCATTGGGCAACATCTAAAAAAACACCTATTTTAAGATAATTCATTTTTTCGAGCCGAATCTAAGAAATATATATGTTTTAAAAATTCAAAATAAGCAACAAATATTTACTATTTTTTTGTTAATTTTTTTCTTTATTGAATTATTTTTGAAATTTTAGAAAAAAATTATAATTTTTCGATTCGTTTTGTCGAATGAAAACGAAAAATAAAAAAAATGTCACGTTTTTACCTTTGGCGACCAAAATTTTGGTAGCCAAAAGTTTCTTTTTGGAAATAATTAGTTTCGGTGACTAATTGGATTTTGGTCGGCAAATAATGCAGTTTCACCGACTTTGTTTTTGGTAGCCAAACGTGCCACGAAATTGTGGAGGGAATATTACTTTTTCATAATATATATTAGCGACGAAAATAATTTTTGGTCGGTAATAAATATTTTTTTCTTCTATTTTCATTGCAAAAGTATCCCAGTTCCCTCCCTCTCGCACTCCCGCCTCTATCACTGCTCTGTCTCCATCGCAAGAGTTACTCTATCATCCCCCGAACTCCCTCCTAAGTATCTCCCTCTCTCTCTCTCTGTATCTCCCTCTCCATTCCTTAAACATCTCACAAGGCCTCTCGGTTTCCCTCTTTCTCTCTCTCTCTCTCTCTCTCTGTTTACACACACACACACACACATACATGCATATATATATATATATACACACACACACACGAATCATATATTCACAACCTTGATTCCATATATACTCGATTATATACACAAATCATATGTACACTCACGCCTCTGCCCTCTTCTCTACAAGAATAGTCTCCATCGCCCGAACTCCCCCGAACTGGATCATCCCCCGAACTCCTTCCCAGGTATGTTTGAATTTTGCATCTATCTCTCCATCTCTCTGTATCTCCCTCTCAATTTCCCTCTGTTTCTATCTGTCTCTGTTTACACACACACACATACATACATATATATATATGTCAAAACACACAGAATATGAAGTACGAAATGCCCTAAATTAGGGCATTGTTATTGAAATGTGATTCAAATTAAAAATTAGGGCAATGCTTAGGGTGAATCAAGCCATTTGCTACATAAACTAGGGCAAAGTCTTGTAGTAGTAGTACATATAAAAGAGGAATTTTTATGGTTTTGAGTAAATATACTAGCTGCTCGTTGCTTTTGGATGCCTTGGTAAGTATGTTGAGGTACTTAATACATACCTACTGTTCTTCTTCATAGTTGCATTTCCAATGTATGAAATTGATGTAATATGTGGAGGTTGAGAATCTTGAGATATGAATGATTTTAAAATCAACAAATGAATAAGTATTCACACTTGAGGTATGATATTTTGTGTCTTGGAAAAGAGATGCAGTGATCATAGTTTTGGTAAAACAAGGGCAGGGATTAGATTGTCCTTGTAGATTCTTCGGCTGATGTTGTGTTCTTGAATGAACATATAGTAGTAGCTTGGTACCCATGGATCATGACTTTCGATCTGTTGGCCTAGCTGTGTATG